TCTTGATGTATCCCGAGCTTTGCTATTGTAGTTGGATCTTATGATGTTTCTCCCCCTCTACTCTCTTGTGATGAATTGAGTTTCCCCTTTGAAGTTATCTTATCGGATTGAGTCTTTTATGAGAACACTTGATGTATGTCTTGCCGTGCTTATCTGTGGTGACAATGGGATATCATGTGCCTCTTGATGTATGTTTTGGTGACCAACTTGCGGGTTCCGCCCATGAACCTATGCATAGGGGTTGGCACACGTTCTTGACTCTTTGGTAGAAACTTTGGGGCACTCTTTGAAGTACTTTTGTGTTGGTTGGATGAATCTGAGATTGTGTGATGCATATCATATAATCATGCCCATGGATACTTGAGGTGACAATGGAGTATCTAGGTGACATTAGGGTTTTGGTTGATTTGTGTCTTAAGGTGTTATTCTAGTACGAACTCTTTAATAGATCGATCCAAAAGAATAACTTTGAGGTGGTTTCGTACCCTACCATAATCTCTATGTTTGTTCTCTGCTATTAGTGGCTTTGGAGTGACTCTTTGTTGCATGTTGAGGGCTTGCTATATGATCTATCTATGTTATTATTGTTGAGAGAACTTGCACTAGTGAAAGTATGAACCCTAGGCCTTGTTTCCTATCATTGCAATATCGTTTACGCTCACGTTTACCACTTGTTACCTTGCTGTTTTTATAATTTCAGATTACAATTACCTTTATCTACCATCTATTTTGCACTTGTATCACCATCTCTTCGCCGAACTAGTGCACCTATACAATTTACCATTGTATTGGGTGTGTTGGGGACACAAGAGACTCTTTGTTATTTGGCTGCAGGGTTGTTTGAGAGAGACCATCTTCATCCTACGCCTCCTACGGATTGATAAACCTTAGGTCATCCACTTGAGGGAAATTTGCTACTGTCCTACAAACATGTGCACTTGCAGGCCCAATAACGTCTACAAGAAGAAGGTTGTGTAGTAGACATCATAGGGCCACCGTAATCTCCTCACGCCCTCGCACAATGCAAGATGCCGTGATTCCACTAAGGGACCCTAGAGGGCGGTCACCGAACCCGTACAAATGGCAACCCTTGGGGACGGTCACCGAACCCGTACACTTTGACAACCCTTGGTGGCGGTCACCGGTACCCGTCAAATTGCTCGGGGCGATCTCCATAACCTAATTGGAGACCCTGATGCTTGCCTGGAGCTTTACACCACAATGATTGAGCTCCGAACACCACCAACCGTCTAGGGCACCCAAGCACCCAAGAGGAACAAGCTCAAGGGTACCAAGCACCCAAGAGTAATAAGCTTCTCAACTTGTAACTTCCACGTATCACCGTGGAGAACTCAAACCGATGCACCAAATGCAATGGCAAGGGCATGGAGTGCCCAAGTCCTTGTCTCCCAAATCCCACCGAAGAAACTAATGCTAGGGAGGAAAAGGAAGAACAAGAAGGAGAGTACCAAGAACTCCAAGATCTAGATCCAAGGGGTTCCCCTCACATAGAGGAGAAAGTGATTGGTGGAAATGTGGATCTAGATCTCCTCTCTCTTTTCCCTTAAAAACTAGCAAGAATCCATGGAGGGATTCAGAGTTAGCAAGCTCGAATAAGGTCAACAACGGGGGAAGAACTTGAGCTCTAAGGATAAGGTCCATTGGGGAAGAAGACCCCCTTTTATAGGTGGGTAAAAATCCAACCGTTATCCTCACAGCCCACACAGAGCGGTACTACCGCTCCAAGGAGCGGTACTACCGCTAGGGCGGAAGAAGCCCTTTGAAAAACAATATAGAGGAGGCAAAAGGCTAGTAGAACCGCTGGAGCAGTACTACCGCTTGTCCTCACGGTACTACCGCTAGGGATAGCGGTACTATCGCAAAGGGTAGCGGTACTACTGCTTGCGAGCGGTACTAAAAAATACATTCATGCCTACCACCGCTGGACCTAATACGAGATTTTGGTCCGGGGCGGTACTACCGCTACAGTAGTCGCGGTAGTACCGCTCTGGAGCGGTAGTAAAAAATTACATCCGCTCCAATTCGCGGTAGTACCGCTGCAGCCTTTTCAGAACACCAAAACTGCCACAACTTTTGCAAACGGACTCCGAATTCAACGAAACCAAGTTTGTTGGAAATCTAACAACAAGGGCTAACACAATCTTGATAGAAATAACAATAATAAGGAAATTATAAAAGGCCCAAGAGAAAATGGTGAGAACCCTTCCTCGAATAAGACCGGTAAAACCTCCAACACCGAAAACACAATACAAGAGGCATATGAAATCCGTTTTCGAAGTACTAGAGCTTGTCACGAAGATAACCACAAGCTCTAAAACCTCAAAAGAAAATACAAAAAAGAATCAAGAAAGATGATGCAAGGATGCAAAGGTTTGAGCTCTCGACGAACGATACAATCAAGCTACTCACTTGAGAGCCCCCCTTGATAGTACGGCTATCGATCCTATAACCCGGTCTCCAAACTATCACCATGAGCCGGTAAAATATAAAACCTATCAAGGGAAAAACTTTGCCTTGCACGAAGTCCACTTGAGCTAGATGATGACGATCTTGACTCCCTCAAGTTGGACCACCTTTCTTGATTGCGTTCGCTCGATGAAGACTAGTTGATTGCTCCCCCATACTTCACTATGGGTGAGCCACTCTTTGGCACATCTTCACAAGTCCATTGATACCATAATGGACGGCAAGCTACAAGCATGATTTCTTCGTGATGCTCCACTTGAACTTGCACACGACAATCTTGATGACGATCACCACTTGATGTCATCCTCTCCATGGGTTGAGTGATATCTTCCTCTTGACGCAAGCCCATGAACACATACCTAACCCCACATAGAACTCTCACATAGACCATGGGTTAGTACACAAAGCACAATGGACAATGCTTACCATACCATGGGATCACTTGATCCCTCTCGGTACATCTTCTATGCTTTGTGAGTTGATCAACTTGATTCACTCTTGACTTAGTCTTGATCAACCTTGAAACTTTCCAACTCTCTTCATTTGGATGATGTCTTGAAGGTAAACATGAATGATCACACAATCTTCTTCAAGACATGCTTGCAATAAGCTCAACACTCGCATGACCAATCTTTGGATAATTCCTTAATAGCACCTTGGTCAACACATAAACTCCTTGACACCAACACATGGACTTCAAGAAAAGCCTATGGACAAATCCTTCCAATATAACTCAATGCAACCATTAGTCCATAGAAATGTCATCAATTACCAAAATCACACATGGGGGCACCACATGTCCTTTCAATAATGTTGTCCCCTATCTTAATGTCAACTCTTAATCCATTCCTATACACTGGCAATCCAGGAACACACCAATAAGCCGTGATCCTGCCTCAAACTCATATCCAATTTTCTCCACTAGACTGGCAACAACATTAGGTGTCCAATTATCTATGTCACAGTAATCATACCAAATGGAGTGACCTTTGTGATAATCCCTATGATTGCCAGCACAAAGAAAATAGCCACCACGTATGACCTCAACAGAGAAGTGGTTGCTTAAGGGTCCTGCAAAACAATCAAAGTGAAAAAATTCAGACATTTCAGACAAAGGGAAGTACAAAGAGGTTCAGACAGTACAGAATTCAAACTTTTTCAGAAAGAAAAGCATAGATTCCTAGCCTCCAATTAACAAATGTATGATCTTACAGGCCATAAAGCAACCATTTTTGGTAAATCAGAGCTAATGTAATTGCAAATTAAAACAATTCTGCACACCAAGTCAACTCTAACACTAAAATCAACCTTTACTGCTTAAACCCTAGGCCCTGGACCCATGACAAATTGAGGGAGAAAGAACCCTAACCACTCTAGGTCTCTACAAACACTACAATAACTGCAAACCCCCATCCTAACACAGGACGCAACCCTATTTTTGGCCTGCCACTAAGTTCATCAAGAACTGCTAAAACCCTACCACCCACACCCAGTTCGTCAGAAAGTACAACAAAAGGCCCAAACCCTAGCTCGGACACGAAATTGATCCCACTAGGAACTCTTTACCAGAGCTAAATTATACAAATCGAGCATCGGAGCTACTGGCGACGTACCGTACAGGGGCGGCGAGGCATCATCACGACAACACGTAGGAGCAAGAGGGATGTCACGCAGGCCCTCCCGAACGGCGCGGACGGCGGCAGCTCAGCATCCGACGACGTGCTCATCGAGCCATCGTCATTGCCGACGAGCTCGAAGGACCTCGGCAGCAACGACGAGTAGAGAGGGTGCAGGAGGAGAGGGAGACAGTGAGCGGGTGCGGGAGGAGAGGAAGACAGCGAGCTGACGCGGTCCGACTAGGTGGGTTGGTTTAATGGTCATGGCGTTTTTGCAACCCCCCCCCCCCCGATCTACTAGTATTCACCCTAGGATCGACTATGTGTCGGTCAAAGCGAGCTGGCGGCCGTTGATTCGGCCAAGTCAGCAAATACGTACACGAAATCGTACAAATAGACCAAAGTGAACCCCTCACGAAAGTACGTGGACAGGGTATTTTAAAGTAGTGGTACCAAACTGTCACCCGGCTCAAATTTGATGACATACAGTGAATTTTTCTCATCATGTAACCACCCTAATCCTATCATGGTCTCCAGGAGCCTTTGCCTGCCTGGAGCAGTGAGGCATACAACAGCTCATTCCACGTGTCCGGCATGCCTGGCAGGCATAGTCCTGCTTGGTCGCGGCCGCCGCCAGCAATCTTTTGTAATGGAATGTACTCCCTTTGTTCCAAAATAAATGTTTTGAGCTTGTATTAGAACTAGTACAAAGTTGAGACACTTATTTTAGGACAGAGGGGTATTTGTGTTCCTTTAATAAAAAAATAAAAATCGTAAACGTCCGCCGCCCCGTCCCCCGTGTTCGTTTAGTAGAACCCTAACTCAAAGTGCGGCGGCGGCGAGCATACCACGCGGCAGGCCTGGTTAGCAATCTCAACCCCCAAAAAGGAGAGATCGATGGCGGCTGGAGGCGGGGGAGGCGAGGTGCTGACGCCTCGTGAGTTGGCGATGGAAGAGATGGATCTGCAGCCTGGCGTTTTCTCCGAAGCAGAGATCCTGAGGATGGAGATTGCGTCCCTGGTGAACTTGCTCAGGGAGAAGCAGTCTGACGTTCTTTCGCTCGATCCTGAGACCGTGAGGAAAATCACGTCCCTGAGGAGCGAGATCGCGTGCCAGAAGTTGGAAAGGGAGGTTCCGGAGGTCAAACGCACAGTGCCGCGGAGGCGTAAAAAGTTCTCTGCAGTGCCGAGGGTCGGGCAGAAGAAGGAGATCATGGCCGATCAGGAGAGCATGGATCTGTCCAACTCCAACACGCAGAGTGTGAGCTCCCAAGTCAGTTGCATCTCCGAGCAGATGCCCGAGCGCTGCGAACAGAAGGAGATCGACTCGGAGAAAATCAAACCAGCCTCCAGATTCGAATCCAACTTGGAGCATGTATATTTGCCCTACGGTGGCGAGGACGAGGGGGAGCGCATAAACGGCCAATTCAGTTGTACTCCCTCTGTTCCTAAATGTAAGTCTTTGTAGAGATTCCACTAGGTGGACTACATACGAAACAAAATAAATGAATCCATACTTAAAATGCATCTATATACATCCGTATGTAGTTTATAGTAAAATCTCTACAAAAACTTATATTTAGGAACGGAGGAAGTATATTGGAGCAGGCGGAGGCTTTGTGCGACGAGATGGCATCTATGGCATCTATTCTGGGCAAAATCAGTATCCCCCTCATCTCCTATTACGATGTCTCCAATCTGTTTCACATGGCGTATAGATTTTTGAAGATCTCCAAGAGTATATACGATTATACCTGCAATGCTGATAAACAGATGGCTGACCAATGTGCTGAGGACCAGAGGACCAAGGAGTATGTGGAGATGACTGATCAGGTGGACAAAGGCAAATCCAGCACCCACTGTCTTAACCAGAGTAGCAAGGAAGAGGTGGATGAATCTGTAACAGATTTGACAATGGACCTTTGTAAATCAAACATGGAGACGCACCAGAAGGCTGCTGATAGCCAGATGACAGATGACAAAGATGAACATTTTGTGGCAGCAGATCTCATATCTGGTCTTTCCAGCCAGATGACTGTCCACTGTTATGAGAACCAGAGTACTGTGGGGTACCTGGAGATGATTGATCTCACGGTGGGCAAAGGCCAATCAAGCACGGAGACGCATGCGTTGAGGATGATGGACCAAGGAAAATCAAGCAGTGAAGGCGAATCAAGTAACGAAGGCAAATCAAGCACGGAGACGCGTGCGTCGAGGATGATGGGCCAAGGCAACTCAAGTAGTGAAGGCCAATCAAGCACGGAGACGCGTGCGTTTAGGATGATGGACCAAGGAAAATCAAGTAGTGAAGGCCAATCAAGCACGGAGATGCAAGGCCAATCAAGTAACGAAAGCAAATCAAGCACGGAGACGCATGCCTCGAGGATGATGGACCAAGGCAAAAAATCAAGCTTTAGGATGGGCCTGGATTGCGATGAGAATGGTATGCCCAACTTGTGCAAATATTACGAGATGCTCGAATGTGAGGATGCGGAGGAGGAAGATGAGGAGATGACTCCGGAGGGTGTAAGGATGTATAACAAATTCCGTAAGGAGCTGTTAGAGATGGAAGCTGGCTTACGCAAGGAGCGGGAGCAGGATCAAAAGGACGCGCTGAGGTGGGAGCAGGATCAAATTGACACACCGAGCTGTTACACAATGGACCCGATCCCCTTCTCACTTCAGGACGAGGCAGAGGAGACTGAGGAGGCGGAGGAGACGGAATTCACAAAATCAGACACGGAAGAGATGGAGATGGCGGACAAGTTGTTTGCTTTAGGGCGTAAAGGCTGGGAATCTGCATGGGGAGACGACTGCGGTAACTTCGAAGACAGGAGTAAGTAAACATAAAATCCGCCGATTCCTTCTCATCTTATTAGTCTTCCAAAACAATGGCAACACAGTCAGATTCGTCCCTTCCTATCTTCTTTCCTTGTATGAGTAAGTAAATAATTGATGTTACAACATGTCTTAACGTTTGGATTAACTTGCTGCTGCAGCCGTATTGAGTCCTATGCACTTTACACATTGCACGCCGGGACTGATCCCGTACGCTGCTCGCACTGTGAGCACCTTGCAAATCTACTCCGTGAAGATTGTTGGAAGAGATGGAAAGTTGAAGTTGCCACTCCATGTTTATGGGATCGTTGCTGCCCGAGATGCCGTGGACTACAACCGCAACATTCTCTTCTCCCGGCGAAGGGAAAACTGCCAAAAACTAACTCCAGAGGTATGTACCATATTACACAGTATTTCTCTTAATTTCCCCCCTTTTTTTCCTGCATGTGCATTCGTTCATTCGATTCAACTATAATGATGATTATGATGCCTGTAGGATCCTTTTTTGCGCTTGACTGGCCCGTCCCGTGCAATTGTGGCTGTGGACGATGTTGATTTCGAAGTCCAACTGAAAGTAAAGGGCTCATCAAGGTCTCGCGACAGAGCATTGATGAGTCATCGCTTTACTTACGCCGGTGGTTACCATGAAGGTTTACATACCACGTTCTCCAGCAACAGCTTTTGCACAGTAGAATTGAGCTATGAGCGACTTACAGAGACAGTCCAGGCTACTATCTTGAGTGCGCGTGTTGTTGAAGGGGCGCCTTGGCCTTTTGAATATGGCGGGCGGATTATGTGCTCCTCGCCACCACAGGAAGTTACGGACTCCCTATCCAGGCAAGTTGTGTTGGTTGATTCTCATCGTTCTGATGATGGTGGAGAAATGCCAATGGGCTCGGATGGTTACATTGATCTGTCAAGGCATGTTGTTTCTGTAGAACTTGAAGAAAGCCTGCAGTTTGTCATACAAGCCTACTCACAGTCTGGTGATGCTATTGCTAGACAAGGTAGTGTCAGGTTCAGGACCAAATACTGCAACATAAGTCGAGCGATATGTGAGATTGGTGACTCTAAGGTGGAGATAACTGTCGCTTGGTCCCAACTTGCTAAGCATAAGAGGGATATCCTCTTAGAAGGACATGTTTGACGGCTCTTGTGCCGTGGATGTTCTGGACTGCAGAATTATTTGTCTTTGATTAGTAGTATAAATCTGTCCTGTACCTCTTGCCCAATTTTATCTGTTTATGTCTTGCATGCGGTTTGCAGAACTGCAGAATTATTTCTTTTTGATTAGTTAATCTGTCCAACTATTTGTGAATCGACTAATGTTATCGGACTATTTGTGTCTACTATCACTTACTCCCTCCGTTCCTAAATATTAGAGATTTCAATATAGGCGACATACGGATGTATATAGACATATTTTAGGGCATACATTCACTCATTTTCCTTCGTACTAGTCCATATTGTAATCTCTAGAAAGATTTATATTTAAGAACAGAGGGAGTATTATGCTATATATGTAAAGTACTACCTCTGTAAACTAATATGAGACCTTTTAGATCACTATAAAGTAGTGATCTAAAGTCCTGTACCTGTTGCCCAATTTTATCTGTTTCTGTCTTGCATGTGGTTTGCAAAACTGCAGAATTATTTCTCTTTGCTTAGTTAATCTGTCCAACTATTTGCGAATCGACTAATGTTATCCGACTATTTGTGTCTACTATATGTGAAGTACCGCCTCTGTAAACTAATATGAGACCTCTTAGATCACTAAAGTAGTGATCTAAAGTCTTGTATTAGTTTACAGAGGTAGTATCTAAAATGCCGCCGCCTTGTAATGATTATTAGCTGCTAACCGGGTCTAACTAACTGAATGCATGATTTCCTGGAAGGTTATCCACCTCTAATTACAGAACTGAACTTCGTGAACTACCTGTAAATCTTATCTACCCCTCTCAAGCTATAAAAAGGACAAACAAAATTCATGTAAACATCCTATCATAGTCTCCAGGGGCCTTTGCCTGCCTGGAGCAGCGAGGCATACAGCAGCTCGTTCCATGTGTCCGGCACGCCCGGCAGGCACCAGTGGCTGCAGTCCTGCTTGGTCGCCGCCGCCGCCATCCGCTCCTCCTCCGTCTCGTAGCGCACCCGGTACACCGACGGGTGGCCGTCCTTCCGGTAGTCGGTGAGCCGGCTGATGTTGAGGTATATCACAGGGGTCTTCATCCTGCTCATGACCTTCTCCAGCATTCTCATCCTCTTGGGGTACTCGGTGAGGTACGTCTGGTTGAATATCGGCTCGGTCTCCCTGTGGCACCTCCCTCCGGAGTTCCACTGCCCTCCCCTGCAGCGAAACGGATCGATCATGAGAGTAAGATTAATAGTATATAGTTCTAGATACATCCATTTCCGAGACAAGTAATTCCGAACGGAGGGAGTAGTTACCTGAAGTGTGTTAGGGAGAGTCCTCTGAACACGATCTGAGTTCTTGTTGGGTCTATGTTCTTGTCGACCCATTTAGCCCATGTGGTCAGTGCTTTCATGTATGCGTCCATCACCTCAAGGCTATGGTGCACACGGTTGCCTTCTTGATAATAGTTCAGCCTGTCACAAACATTTCACCGATCAGGATGTAAACAGATTGACTAGCAGATCAGCTTAACCTGAGGAGTTCTGGGGGAAGTGTTGCACTATTCACAGACCCTTTTGACGACTTTGGGTGAGTCCACCAGTGCCCGGTGTTGACGACGACGATGTCGGCAGTCTGGTACGCCGGAGTCGTTGCATCTAGCTCATCCAACCTCAGCTTCTCGTCGAGTACGGTGCCGTTTGGGCTCTCGCGGACCGTCTCTTTGACCAGAAATGTCGATCTTATGAAATCCACAGAGCAATTGTAGTCCTGCAATCAAGTACCATGAGTTGAACTGACAACATTCTACCAAGTTTCTCTTCTCTCATTGTGAATGTGAGATACAAAACAACAACAACAACAAAGCCTTTAATCCCAAATAAGTTAGGGTAGGCTAGAGGTGAAACCCATAAGATCTCGCAACCAACTCATGGCTCTGGCACATGGATAACAAGCTTCGACGCACCCCTGTCCATAACTAGCTCTTTGGTGATACAATGTGAATGTAAGATGAGAACAAAAAAAATGTCAGTATTCAGTGAGGCAGCCAGTACGTACTCTGAACTTGAAGGAATAGAATCCTCTGGTTTTGAACTGGTTCTTCCCGGACTTCTCGTACACGTTCTTCTTGTTCCTGACACCATGGCGGAGAGTGCAGACCAGAGACTCCCACATGTTGCGGTTCAGCGAGTCGCCGACGAATATGATCCTCTGGCCCCGCAGCCTCTCCAGGAAATCAGACGCGTTCATCCTGACCGACGCAACACAAGAGAAGATAACTTAAGTTTCGATCACAGAGTGTACTCTAATGAAATTGCTAGCAACATTTGCTATGATCAGAATCTAGTCGGAGGATGCATGCACCTGGGAATGTTGCAGCCGGTCGGTTGCCACCTCCAGTTGAGGAAGCCGGTGTCCTGACGGCCGTTCTTGTGGCAGTTGAAGTCGCCGTCGATGTGGGGGCACGACCGCGGCGGGTAGAACGCGTGGTTCTCCTCCCTCACCCACCTCCCGCTGAACAGATCGCACTTGGCGAAGGTCACCAGGTCCTGCACGCCCGACGTCCACACCACCCGGTGGTTGCCGGGCCCGACGGACACGCTGGTGTTCGCGGCTGCCGTGACGGTGCCAGTGCCGACGCCGTCGCTGTGGTCGGCGGAAGGCGTCCACTCCACCCGGTGGTTGCCTGGCCCGACGGCAACGCTGGTGTTCGCGCCTGCCGTGACGGTGCCAGTGCCGGCGCCGTCGCTATGGTCGGCGGAGGACGTCCACACCACCTGGTGGTTGCCTGGCCCGATGGCAACGCTGGTGTTCGCGCCTGCCGTGGCAATGCCGTCGCTGTTGTCGGCGGCAGCTCCTTCCTGCACCGGGTGGACGAACTCCTTCCGTCGCCTGATCGAGCGCTGCTTGTGCCTCGCCATGGACGCTCTCTTGCGCCTGCGTCTGTCCTCCTTTCGCTGACCCGGCGCTGTTGATGGCAGCGCTGCTCGCCGCGTCGAGTTCGGCGGTACATTGTCGACGCTGGCGTTCGCGTTTCGATCTTCCTTACTCGAACGCACAACCGTGTCGGTAGAGTTGCCGGTGGCGCCTTCGGAGTCCGCGGGCTCATCAGGAGAGCCCCCGATGATGGGTTTTCCGGTGGAATTCGCTGCATCCGCTCTCCGCCACGCCGGCGTCGGCATTGCGGTTACATCTTGCGCTTTAGTGCCGTTGCCGACGACGGGCTCCCCGTCCGATCCGCTGATCGTGGCGTTTTCGGCGTTATAGAGGGGACCCTGCGCTTTCCCCATATCCTCCGGCACCAATGCCGGCTGTCCCGAGCCATCGGCCGGCGCCCAGTCATCATCCGAGTTGTTGCTCTGTACTCGACTCGGCGACACCACGGTGGCATTGCGCGCGCTGCTCCGCTGAGCCGTGCCGGTGCTACTTACGTTAGGAAGAACGGGAGGGTGGGTAGGAAGCGGCTTCCTCGGCGACGTCGGCGTGGACGAGTTCGACGACAGCAGCGCGCCGGACGCCGGCGAGGAGCCCGTCGGGGTGGGGAAGGAGTCGTCGGGGGAGGGGCGACCGGTGACGGAGATGTAGAAGAAGGCGATCACCAGGACGACGGAGAAGCAGGCCAGCACGGCCTTGGTGCTCACGTACGGCCCGCCGCCGTGCTTACCGCCGGCGCCGCTGCCTCGCTTGTGGGCGGTGGCGAGGGAGGTGGAGGAGGAGGACGGGGAGAGGAGGCCGTTGAGGTGCGCCTGGAGGGAGCCGCTGCTGCCCCCGCCGCCGCCGCCGCCGCCGCTCCGGTCCAGCACGGACAGCCACGCCTTCCTCCAGCCGGCCATTGTGCCTGGTCAGCGATCGCCGATCACTCCCTCACTCACTCCAGTGCGCTGCTGGTCAGTGTGACGGTTAGCAACTGCCGGCAGGAGCGGATCTCGATGGGCAGGCTCAGAGTTTATGGAGAAAAGTCCGTTATGGACCAGTTGGGCCCAAATCCACGCGGACCGTTGCCGTCAGCTGGGCCTAGCCCACAAATAACCCGGCCCATCAGGTCCCTCGCTTCCTAGGGTTCGTTCGCCGCCCGCAATGGCCCACCCAGCCCGCGTATATATAGATGATCGTACCGATCCACCCGAATGTCGCAGCGCATCGCCATTCCAACTGACCAGGCGCCTGCCTCCGCCACCTTTGCGAGGTGTCCACCATGGCCTGCGGCGGCGGCAGCGGCATTTTCAGCCGGGCGCTGGGCTACGTCGTCAACGAGTTCCTCGTCCAGGGCCTCGCCAACAAGTAATGCTCGACGCCCCTTGCCTCCCTCCCTCAGTCCCTCTCCCCATAACATAGATTAGATCTATCCGTCGTCATCTCACGAGGGTTTCGTCGTTCGGATCGGTAGCGCTTCGTCATCTGGTCGTTGGGTGGATCGTCTCGTTGTATCGTGGGCTTGCCCTCTCATGTGCTCTTTGCATAGGATTGCCTATGGTGCAGGGCGCAGCAAGCTCTTACATATGCTACTGTTATTGATTTGTTCGAGCATGTACTAGGAACAAGGTCAAATTTTTATCTTGGACCAAATCCCACAAATTCGTAGGGTTGTGCACGTACGTGACGGTGATGAGCCTTTACAGACCTGTAATGATTCTTGCGAGCATGATCGCTTGATTCAAAGAACATCTAAGGGACTGAGTCGTTATAGTAAGCCAAAGGGAAGAGTTGAGGTGTCATGTGAATTCTGTTACCAGAGCTATTGGCTTTGATAGTCTTGTTCTGTTTGATTGTCTCATTGGAATGACGTGGGCATGGCAACAGTGATGAGTTCATACAGACCTGTAATGATTCTTGTGGAAATGATCGCACAGTTCAAAGAACATCTAAGGGACTGAGTTGTTATGCAACATTTGCATTACATTATGTGTTTCATTTCCTATTTGCCCAACAGTTACTGTGTGTGTTTGTGTCCTTTTTCTTGTTTGACTATGAGCTGGTATTCAGTTTGATTTTTCATGGAAACAATGACCCAATGACAGTTTTAGCAGACATGTAATTATTCCTGCGGGGATAATCGGAAGATTCAAATCACATCCAAGGGATTGAGTTATAATTGAGAATTACCTTGATCGCACCCTTTATCTGGATAACAAGCACATTATTGTGTTCTCCGTCTGAATTGTTACGGAGGACGGTTAAGATTTGTATTTGGTCTCGTTCGTCATAACTGGCATTTGTTTGCCTTGCCGACTACCAAAATTTTCAGTCCCCCTATCGCATTATCTTATTGGTTTGCTGTTCTATTTTGTTTGTTTGGCCGATGATTAAACTAAACTAATAGACAAGCATATGTCTCAATTCTCTTCATGTGGAAAGCATAATTATCAATCAGGTCAAACTCTGTTTGTCTTTGTACTTCCTTTTACCGGTCTGCAAGCTCGGGTGATGATTACAAGTGCATAGTTCGGATGACCAAACTGTGATGACTTGAACAAAATAGTCTTTCGCTCCTAGCTGATGACCTTTGTCAATTTTGATTGAAATTGCATTTGAGAAATCATAACCTGGCAAATTAAATTAACTGATGTGAGTTTGTGTTCTGTACTTTGGATGAGGTGGAGCTTGACTGAGTTTTTCTTTCTTGTTATCTTATTAAATTTTACTCTGATGTTCAGGAATCAATCCTGAAAGACGAGCTGTGGCACTTTGCCAATAATTCATTTGGCCGAACTGCTTTAAACTTCTGCTGCTTTTAATGATTGTACTAAAGATGATTTAGTGTCAGCATTGAATATCCGAGAGGATGATGATTTCATATGTCGCCCCAGTCTTAGGTCCCACTTCGGTGTAACTGTGCTGATTGACTTTTGAATCTGACTTTGTAAATGAAAATTTTGATATTCCTCCTCATAAGCTGGTATGTGTTTGTGTCGTGTGCCTTGGGTGAGGAGCTTGTTGAGATTTTCTCGTGTCGTTTTGTTATATTTTATTCTGATGTCATGGAAGCACTCTTACTATCTACTCTGATGTCAAGATGATTTTTTTTACTGTGCAGCCGTGCCTTCCAGAGGTTTGCTGTGAGGACCAACAAGACTTTCGAGAATCTCTCATCTAGAGGTAGCGGCACTACACTGATTTTGTATTACGTGAATGTTGCTCATTTAATGTTTCACCAATTTCGGTTGAATATCAGTTTGACAATTTCTTGGCAGAACATTAGCTTCACTGGTTTCTATAGTGAATTTGTATATGAAGTCATTTTCTTTGTGAAGGAAATTTGTATACTAAATTAATTTAATTTTTTTCTGCTATAAAGAAATATAAGAGCGTTTAGATCACTAATAGTGATCTAAAAGTTCTTATATTTCTTTACAGAGGGAGTAGTTTTTATGCTCATTTGTGTTTCATCGTTGTGGCATCACCAGTTCACCACATTATTTGAATGTGTGGGTTCGATTTTAATGCCTTATGTGTGCTAACATTAATCTGGTAATTTTTGCTTCTTACTCAACAGTTAAACAAGCGAGGGAGGAGGTGTCAGAGCAAATTAGGGATCCTCGTGGGCATGATAATGTGAGTTAAACCAAACCTTGACGTGGTTCACTGTGTGGTTGTTTGAAATGCTGCAGGTGACTGAATAGATCTTTGTTTGCAGGGCTTCAAGCAGTGATGCCGACTCCTACGCGTGCATCAAGTTGCTAGCTGTACAATCCTGCTATCAGCGTTCCCATACATCTTTTCTTATCCTAGTTTTGGATGCCATCCTCAAGTGGCCATTGTATAAAATCTGAATCCAAATGATCTTATTTTCTATTTAGACATGCACAGCATCATTCTACTCCTTGGCTGAGTCTCAGTTCTACAAATTTCTATGCTGGAACAAATTACTATGTAGCCTGCCGGAAAAAATTCTAGAGGGATTCTCCTTGACTGAGCCTCAGTTCTACAAATTTATATGCTTTGTTTTATGACTAGTTTTTGCGGTCTATCTGTTGTTATGACCTTGGCTGCCAAATCTATATAACAATGACTATGTTGATTTCCAGGAAATATCATCGTGTTCATTTTGCCGTTTGTTCGTCTGACCAGTTTAAATGTAGAAGCTTAGACATTTTTGGGTGGCATGCAAACAACCGAAAGCTATATTTTACTTCCTCTATCAAAATATAAGACCCTTTTTTAACACTGTTGTAGTGTTAAAATGGGTCTTATATTTTGATATGGAGGGGGTAATTCATTACCTAATTCCATAAATTTAAGTGGGATTCTTCTATGGTTTTTCTTTTGTTGGCGGTGTTCGCAACAGTTATGAAGGTCGCTGTTTGCAACCCGGATCTGCACTGCTATTGGTTGGCGGACGTGGGGGAATGATTCCTGGTTTTGCTAACTCTACAATGGTGGCTCACGTGCCTTTCTTAGAGATTTCACAAATCCATCTCTCTCCGCGCCTCCTTTCTCTTATACTAGTTTCTCTCGGTGAGGTGAGGGAGGGGGTCCTGATTCCTCCTGTTTATTACTACTTCGTCCCACAACATTTTTGCAAGCGATGTTAGCTTGCAAAAACATTTTATATTATGGCGGGGTGCGTGTTATATTATGGTCTGCGGTTTGATATGTGTCATGGAAGAAGAAAGAGTTTGAAGATCTCGAAGATTTGCTCGTTTCTTTAGACTTTATTTTGTAATCGATGTAGTCAGCTCATGTATCTATACCATGTACAATTTGCTACTATAAATATATCATGGTATTGATTGTAAAAAATATATTTTATATTACGAGACAGAGGGAGTAGTAAAGTTATTACTTGCATCCTTCATGACAGTTTTGGGAATTTCGCATCATCGAAAATCAGTGTTGAACCTAGAGATGCCGTTAAGGATGGTATGGGTACATGAATACCATATCCATACCCATGTTTCTCATGGGCAAATCCTACTGCCCTAATTGCTAGTTTCAGAAGTGGCGAAGGTGTGAGCCACTGAGAGATTTTTATGGTTGGGAAATTGGTTGGTACTTTATCACTAGAGACCAAAAATGAAATGGATGTATGAAAGTTGACATGAAGCTTGTATATAAAGACTCCCTAACTTAGGGTTTATTACACATATGACCCATCAATGAGATAATCGGGCAGGGTCTATGACATACCCATGGAAAAAAAATCGTATTCATGCCTTATTCACGACTAGTCGGGTAGGGTTCAGGCACTATCCATGGGCACGAAAATGTGCCCATACCCAACCTATGCGGATCAGGTACCCACGGGCACACATGCCCATGGGTAAAATTGCCACCCTTAGATGTCGTCTTCATCTTTTTCGTTGGCGTTTCTTCTCTTTTGGCTTGCTTTCCCCTCTTTGAATAACCTCCCCTGATTGAGTCAATTGAATCATTCTTTGCGGGCAATTTGCAGCTATGTTAAAAAGCAAATATGAGAGAGGATCTCACTGTGTCAACCTTCTAAAGCTAACAAAAATTCATCCCATTGAATCATCGATATTCACAAAGTGTCCACGTTTTACCACATTACCAAACCACCCCATCCACATGTCATTAAACCCTCTTTTTCTCAGGCTATAGAATAAGACATCTCAGTTAACCTTGTCATAAGCCTTCTAGAAAAACACAATTTTAGTATCGCACCTTGTTGATTTTTCCTCTTAGATTCATGCAAGATCTCATGAAGTGACATGACCCCATCCATAATATTTCTTCCTTTGATAAATGCAAGCATAAAATAGTTTACGCACAAAAGGCTTGACTCTTCCATCCATAACTTTAACAAATAAAAAAATTGAAGAGGAGATGTAACAAACAAATAGGCTTGTATTTCTGAACTATGTCAGCACCAAGC